TTGAACCATGGTCCCTGTGATTTGCTAAGCTCATTCTAAGTAGGTGCTTTAGACCACTGAGCCATCTCACCAGCCCCCATTACACAAAATATTGAGTTGTGTTTTTGTGTGAGATTTCTTCGTGATTTTTGTAGTACAAGGTCTCACTATGTCACGTTGGCCTGAAGTCACTGTGTCCCAGACTGGCCTCAGACCTGTGATCCTTCTCCATCAGCCTCCCAAGGGGAGCTATACAGGGCTGGGGAGATGGCTCAGTAGAATAAGCGCTTCTCTGGCAAGTGCAAGGGCCTGAGTTCAATCCCCAGTTACACACACACACAAAAAAGAAACCAAGGGGGACTATAGGCGTCCTCCTCACCTGGCACAATTTTGTTCCTTTGGGCCAGTCATAAATAATAGTGTTTGTGCAAGTAACAAATCTAACAAATACAGAAGAAATGCCCCACACAAAAAAAAAAGAAATCCCAGATTTGAGAGATAGCTCAGCAGACTAAAGCGCCTGCTTAGGAAAGCACAGGGATGTGGTTCAATCCCCAGCACCACATGCTGTGTCAGCCATACCCTCAGGGCAGGCTGAGCCAGCCACAGAGTCTGGGCATTGTGGCTTACATCTGTAAGTCCAACGCTGGGGAGACTGAAAGCAGGCAGATAGGTCACCACAAGTCTGAGCTGTGAAGTGAAACCCTGTAACAACTAAATATATAAAAAATAAAATAAAATAAAAAATCCCAATATGCAATTTTTTAAAATGTATTTAGTACAGGGTCTATGTAGACTGGACTCATAGTGATCCTCCTGTTTTCAGCCTCCCAAGAACTGGGATTACAGGTGCCCACCATTACACCCAGTCTCAACTGCTGTCTCAGCACACCCTCGGGGGGAAGGGCCAGCAAACTATTCCCTGGGGTCCCTGCAACAGCCTAAGCAAGCGCTTTAATCCACAGAGCAATTTGGCTGGCCCTCCAATATAAAAATTTTGCAAGCAAAATACAACCCAGATACCTAAAGGTTAAGGCATGTATAATTTTTGTTGTTGTTAAGAAATATCTTTGGGGCCAGGGAGATGGCTCAGTAGGATAAGTGCTTGACTGGCAAACGCAAGGATCTGAGTTCAATCCCCGGTTCTGCCAAAAAAAAAAAAAAAAAAAAAGAAAAAGAAAGAAATATCTTTGATAAGTGAAAATATCTACAAAATAAAATGTGGAAGACTTCTGTCCTAGCAGTCATGCTAAATTTTAAAGTTGTAGCTTATTTCATAAATTCATCTGTACATATAAGTTTTTTATGTTAACTTGCCTGCCTAAACACCAGAGCTTTGGAAGCATGTAGATTTCCCTACATCCTTTTCAGATTTTGTTTTTAATTATGTTTATTGGTACATGTTAGGCATATATAATGGTCACATTCATCATAGGGAATTTGTATCTGTACATGACACGATCTTACTATCAATCCCCCCTTCCTATCTTTATTCACAAAAGCTTTGTTTCCATTTTTTCCTTATCTCATCATTATTTTCTTTTCCTTTCCTATCTAGCTGTGGTCCCTGTACAACATATCTACCAAAAAAACCTGTGTGTATGATGCTGGAGATCAAAACCTGTTTTATTCTTAAGTTTCTCCAGCAGCTTCTCTTTCCGTGAAGATAAAAGTTTCAACTGAACACAGTTTAGCGCCTCACATTCTCTGCCTTAAAGGCAAAATGAATTAGATCAGCAATCAGGAAAAAGGCCCCTCAATCTAGACCACATTGAGCCATTTCAATCTAGCTTCTTATAAAGTCAACTGAACAACTTTCGGTTTCATGTCTATGAAACACAACCCCTAACATATTTTTTCTTTTCCCTTTGGAGTTGGGAACTGAACCCTGGATCTCACACAGCAGGCAAACATCTGTGATTGAGCAGCAGCCCCCAATCCTGCAGTGCTGGGGACTGAACACACCCAGGGCCTTCACACATGCTGCACAAGTCTTCTACTACTAAGATAGATAGATAGATAGATAGATAGATAGATAGATAGATAGATAGATAGATCTCCCTAGCTTTCCCCACTCCTAACTTAAAATCTTTGACTTCAAGAAGTCTTCCTTCTATTCTGGCATGGTTTTTCCCTAGGAGAGCTTTAATCTACCCCAGGCTTCCATTTGTAATTTCAGTCGCTTCTATATTATCAAGTTGAAAGTTCAAGTCTCTTAACAGAAGCCTAATTTTCCCTCTACTGTCAACATCTATACAACCTAGGAGGTGAAAACACAGAATTACTTTTCATTCCAAACCGCTAATAACCTTTAATATGTCATACACAATTAAGAATGGCAAGAAAAATTTAATAGAGCCACTTTAATCCCTGAATTGTAACTTGTGCTTGTCAGGCAGGCACTTATGCCACTGAGCCAACTCCCCAACCCCTATTTTAGAACTATAGGTCTGAATTTTTACATAAAATCTGCTCAAAAAATATAAAAAAATTTCAATGTCAAAAAACAAATTTAGGGGCTGGAGAGATGGCTCAGTGGTCTAAAGCACCTACTTGGAACAAGCTTGGCAAAGCACAGGGACTGCGGTTCAATCCCCCAGCACCACAT